CCCCACCCATCTAGCCTTGTTCTGCTCCTGCTAAATCCAGTTTGGGCCCAGCTCATAGCCCTAAGTGCAGGATGTATTCCTGAGTCACGGAGGTGCCTTCAACATCAGAGGCTCTATCAGGTACCACCTCCCTCGGAGCAGCGTATGCTGGGAAGGCAGGGAAGATGCTGAGACACCTTCCAGGCAGCCTGGGGAAGCTGGGCCTGCTGCTCTGGGCGAGCAAGGGGAACAGAGACAGGCCCTAAGGTTAACGCTCATCACCCTCAGCAGGGATGGCTGGCCCCTCCTCCCACACCCTGGGGAGAGGGCCCCTGCTCCCCGAAAGCAACTTACAGACCTCTCCCTCTAGATCCTTAAGCAAGAGAGCGCTAGCCCTGCGACAGAGGGACAGGGGCTCCACCCCTCGCCCTGGATGACTCCGGACAATGCGTGTGGCCTCTGAGCCAGTGGTTCTCAGAGTGGGATCCGGGACCAGCAGCAGCAGCACCTGGGAACTGGTTAGACGTGCAGATTCTCAGGCCCTGCCCTCGCCGATCGGAGGCACACGCCCCTGGAGACCACTTTGCTTCGGAAACCCATTCCCTTACCCATAAAATGAGTGCTCTCGGTGATCTTAACCCGGGCCACCCGACCAGGAACTCCAGGAATGCAGCGCTGCCCCAAGGAGACAGCCCTGGATTCCAGGAGTTCCCGGGGCACAGGGCCAGTGTCACCGTTATCTCACCCGTCGCCACGTTAGAGCACAAGCTGTTTAACCAGAACGGAGGCACCTTCTGGCATGCTCCCTGCTTGTTCCCTCCCTCCCTCTTCTGGGCTGGTCTCAAGTTCCCGCACCCCACCTGATTCACTGCCACCTCTTTACCTACCCCCCGAGTCACTCAGGTGCCGAGCCCAGCATCCCCTCTCTCATCTCTGCCCAGTTACTCAAACAACAGCACCTGGACTCCCCGGCTGCAACTCCCGGTTACCCCCAGCACCCTCGACCGCAGCCCAGGGGGCCAACCTGATAGCATCTAGTTCTAGACACATCCCTGGGGGGCAGGGACCTGGGGCGGGGGCCGGCTCCTTCTGCAATAACCTGGCTCCAGGCACCCTCTAAATTAGCTGCACTCACCCACCTCCCACCTAGGCTCTGTTTCATCTCCATTTCCAAGTGAAGGTGTCTTTTTATTTTCTTCTTGACTTTGGAGTGGAATTGCATCTCTTCTCCCTCTAGCAGACTCTACAGGCAATACCTGCACTGTTTAGTCTGTGCCACGAACATCCCTGAAAATGCAGTAATAATAATAATAATAATAATAATAATAATAAATGCAGCAGCAGGATGGCCCAGTCAGTTCAGATGGTCTTGTCTATCCTAGTTTTCTCCTCAAGTTCCCAAGGCCTGACTCTGGCACCCTTCCTCTCCTTGCCTCAGGCATGGGTCGGGCTCCAGGCATCACCTGGGAGATGTTTGGAAATGCAGGTTCCCCCTCCCGCAGCCCCACAGAGGCTGCACCTGCATTTAATCAACACTACATATCCCAGCCCCATGCCCCAGGTCCCTGCCCCCATGGTGTCCCCGGGGGACACCAGGCCAGCTTAGAACAGGAATTCCCGGAGGGGCTGGGTAATCAGCAGAGCTTTTATAGCAGTCTCCCTCGTGATTCTTAAGATAAAGCAAATTTGCTAAGTAAGCCTAGGGTAAGGATCTGAAACAGCCCATTTTCACCCCAGGATGGAGCTTGAGGGCAGTCAGGGTGTTTTTGTTTGTTTGTTTTTTGTTTTGAATGAAATTGGTGGCCTCTGGGAATAGGATATCGGCCACGACGCCAACTCCTCTCCTTAAAAAATTAAATTAAGGAAAAAAAAAAATCCCAATAGTTCAGAAGGAAATCAAGTGAAAACTCTGTCACCTTCCTGCTGCTAGCACCCTGTGCCTGAGATCAGCGGAAAGTTGCTCAGACCAGTAGAGTGGGAATCATGGGGTCAAACTCCGGGAGTAAAGAGAGCGAGCTCGGGCCTCGGCCGGCAATGGACACAGGTTTGGTGACCAGGTGGGCTGCCAACCACGTGCGTCGCGGCCCCAGCATCCCAGCGCTGCCTCCAAAGTCAGGAGGGTGCATCTCCAGCTCGGCTTTTTTTATCCCCCCCACCCCC